AAAAAAAAAAAAAAAAAAAAAAAAAGGAAAAGAAAAGTAAAAAGAAAGTGGGGGGAATTTCCAAAAGTTTTGGTGGTGGATGGTGGTAATGGTCACACAACAGTGTGAATGTACTTAATGCCACTGAACTGTACACTTAAAAACTGGTTAAAATGGTAAATGTTATGTCTACTTTCTCACAATAAAGAAAGGAACATAAATAATAAGCAATGTTGGGAAAGACATGATTAAACTAGTATCCTATAAAAAAAAAGTGGTACATATACACAATGGAGTACTACTCAGCCATAAAAAAAGAATGCAATTCTGTCGTTTACAGCAACATGGAGGAACTGGAGGTCATTATGTTAAATGAAATAAGCCAGGCACAGACAGACAAACATTACATGTTCTCACTTATTTGCAGGTGCTAAAAATCAAAACAACTGAACTATCGAAGACAGTAAAAGGATGGTTACCAGAAGCAGCGAAGGGTAGTGGGGCGTGGGAAGGGAGTGGGGATGGTAAATTGGTACAAAAAAATAGAGTAAGAACTGGTATTTGATAGCACAACGGACAGACTATAGTCAATAATTTAATTGTACATTTTATATATAACTAAGAAAGCATAACTGGACTGTCCATAACACAAAGGACAAATGCTTGAGGGGATGGCTTCCCCATTCTCCATGATGTGATTACTACGCACTGCATGCCTGTATCAAAGTATTTCATGTACCCCAGAAATGTATACACCAACTATGTACCCTCAAAAATAAAAAATAAAAATTAAACAAACAAACAGCTGACCCACCAGCAAGGCCCAGGTGAAATCAGCGAGGCCCCGCCCAGATCAGAAGAACCATCCGGGTAAGTCCAACCCAAATTATAGTCATCCCTCGGTATCCAGAGAGAATTGGTTCCAAGATCCCTGCAGATACCCAAATCCAGGGATGCTCAAACTCCTTATATAAAATGGCATAGTATTTGCATACAACCTACCAACATCCTCCCATACACTCTAAATCATCTGTAGATTACTTATAATACCTAATATAACATAAATGTTATATAAACAGTTTATGCTGTATTGTTTTTTAAATTTGGTTTTTATTGTAATTTTTTTGTTTTCTCAAGAATATGTTCTATCCACCGTTGTTGAATTCCCCAGTGTGGTACCCACAGATACAGACGGCCAACTCAACTTGCAGATTTATGAGCTAAATAAATGACTGTTGTTTTGAGCCTGCAGTGATTTGTTACACAGTAAGTGCTAACAACAACAAAGGCTTACCATGTGACAAGCACTACTCTAAATACATATATATTTTTTGAGACAGAGTTTCGCTCTGGTTGCCCAGGCTGGAGTGCAATGGCGCAATCTCAGCTCACTGCAACCTCCACCTTCTGGGATCAAGCGATTCCCCTGCCTCAGCCTCTGGAGTAGCTGGGATTACAGGCATGTGCCACCATACCCGGCTAATTTTGTATTTTTAGTAGAGATGGGGTTTCTCCATGTTAGTCAGGCTGGTCTCGAATTCCCGACCTCAGGTGATCTACCCATCTTGGCCTCCCAAAGCGCTGGGATTACAGGAATGAGCCACTGTGCCTGGCCGCACTACTCTAAATTCTATACACATATGCTCTGCCATAATCTTTGTAATCCTGGAAATAGAAGCTGTAACTCTGACTCTAACAGAGATGAGATAGAGGCATAGAGAGGTTAAATATCTGACTTGTGGTCACATATCCAGGCCACCAGACTCCAGAGTTCCCCGACTATTTTTTTTTCTTTTTTTGAGGCAAGGTCTCACTCTGTTGCCCAGGCTGGAGTGTAGTGGCACAATCACAGCTCACCGTAACCTTGACCTCCCAGGCTCAAGCAATCCTCCCACCTCAGCCCACTCACTCCTGACCCCCGCCCAAGTAGCTAGGACTACAGGCGCATGCCCCCACGACTGGCTATTTTTTGAATATTTTTTGGAGAGACAGGGTTTTGCCATGTTGCCCAGGCTGGTCTGGAGCTCCTGAGTTCAAGCAATCTGCCCACCTTGGCCTCCCAAAGTGCTGGGATTACAGGTGTGAGCTGCCACGCCTAGCCGAGTCCCTGACTCTTAACAACTCTGCTGTCTTTCCTTCATAGATGTGGTTTCTTGACTAGCTACTCCCCTCAATTCTTTCTCTGCTTGGGGTCTCAGCACCCCACATAGACAAATCTCTTGAAAAATGTCTGGAGGGCCAAGGATGGATGATCGCTTAAGCCCAGGAGTTTGAGACCAGCTTGGACCACATAGGGAGACCCCCATCTCCAAAAAAAAAAAAAAAAAAAGAAAAGAAAAAGAAAGAAAAGATGCCTGCTGCCTGAGCCAGTCCCTACCTGCCTGCTCCGGGCCCAGTTCCTTAGGACTGGGGTATGTCTCCCACCCCAAGGCCTTACCGCTTTGATCTCCCTCTCCAGCAGCTTGCCCGAGCACGAGTAGGTGTTGTCAATGAAGGGGCAGGAGACCTCCGCCTCCTGGCTGTTGCGGATGGTGCCCTGCAGGCACTCCCTAGGGGAGGGGAGGGGAGAAGAGTTAGGATCATAGGAACCCGATCCACTGGTGACTCCACCCCTCACATGGCAAGGGCTGACCCCAGGGGCCTCACTCAGTCACCCCAGGTGGGCTTCTCCTCAATATCCCCCTCCTTCCCATCCCTCTCACCAACCCATCACCAAGGCCTCCAATCCTGTCTCCATACGGCCGCTCTAATTCTCTGGTCCAGGCCCCACATCCCCTGCCTGGGCGACTCCAGGAGCCTCCTCACTGGGCTCCCTGCATCCATCTGGTCCCTAAAGTCTATCTCAGAACAGCAGCCATGTCTCCCCAGTGACCCCCATCCCACCCAGAACAAAACCCAACACCTCTCTATCCTGCTCTTTGATTACCCCCTTCACCCCTCTGCTCCAGCCACCAAGAGACCTCCTTAGCCTCCTCCAACACGCCAGGCCCACACCTACAGCAGGCCTTCCAGTCCCTGCTCTGGAGCTACCTCCTTGGAAGCTTCCAGACCACCCTTTCCAGGAAGGACTCCTGTTGTCTCTTAACGTACTGTATGTAGCATTTGACATAATTCACAAGGACATCAACCAGTGATTATCCAATTCACATCAGCCTCTCTGCTGGAATGTAAGCTCCAGGAGGCAGGCATGGAGCCTGTCACCCAGGGACTGCTCCACAAGGGTCTGCTGTGGTGAGTGGGTCTGTGTTCCCCACATTCAGGGGTGGAAGGGCCATGACAGGAGACTCAGAAACTGGCAGATGCCCACAGCGAGGCTCAGAGCAGCGTGGCTGCAGGAGCCTGGGCGGTGAAAGGTAGAGGGGAAGGGAGGCTCTCCACTCATGCCTGCGTTCATGTCTAGGCTGCTTCTCTTACGAGCCATGTGGCCTTGGGTAAGCTGCTTGGCCTCTCCGTACCTCAGGTTCCTCATCTGCAAAATGGGGAGACGGAGCCTACCTCGTAGGTTTTCGCAGGCGTCCAATGAGGTATCAGAGCACAGGGCCCCACCCACGTCCAGCCCTGCGTAACTGGCGGCTTTAATAAAGCTGCATTGCCGGGGGTGGGATTGGGGGCCGCACCTGCAGAAGGTGTGCAGACACTCACGCAGCACCACGGCCTCGCCGGGCGCCAGCACCGAGTAGCACACGGGGCACTCGGCGGGCTCGGTGTTCAGCACCAGGCTCCTCTGGTCCAGCTGGACGTGCTGCAGGTAGTTCCCCTCCTGCTGCTGCTGCTTCCGCTGGGCACACGGGGCGGGGCCACGGGGTGGGTCAGGGCCTCAGGGGCGGGTCAGACCACGAAGGGGGAAGGACCGGAGGGCGTGGTCAGGGCTGGGTCAGACCAGCAAGAGGCAAAGCTGGGAGCCAGTCGGGATCGGGGATCGGGGATCCGGGATGGGGGTGGGCAGGGGTGGTCAGGAGCAGGAAGGTTGGGAGGGGCGGGGCTGGGAGAGAGGCCAGGCAGACCATGGGGAAGCCAAGGGAGGGGAGGCCGGCCAGGTAGCCAGGGAAGGCATCAGGAGAGGGAGCAGTGGCAGCAGGGAAAGGAAGGGGGCCAGGGTCTGAGTGGTGAGTCAGGTAGCAGGGCAGGGCCTGGGCCAGGGCTGGCGGAGCCAGCTCAAGGTCAGGGGTGGGGAAGTGACAAAGCCGGGGAGCAGAGCAAGGCTGAGACGAGAACAGGAGTGGGGTGGCCAGGGGTAGCACCGGGTCCAAGGGGAATGCAGGTGGGCCAGGGGTGAGATCAGAATGGGGAGCACTCGGGGGTCAGTGTCTGTGTCATTAGTGTGTGTGTCATGATGGGGGCGGGGGAGGGCTAAGGCGCAAGACTAGGGTTGGGGGTCATCCCCCTAGGGAGCAGTGAGGGGCCAGGCCAGGCTCTCAGGAAGTCAAGGGTGGGCCAAGCCTGAGAGGGATGAGGTCAGGAGTAGGAGAGTCCAGGGTGAGGTCACGGGGAGGTGGAGTAGGATTAGGTCACAGGCAGGTGAGGGTGAGGTCCGAGCTGAGGTGTGGTCATGGCTAGGATGCTGGGGTCATAGCCAGCCATACTTGTGTGGTGTGTCAAAGCTAGGGATGGAGCCACAGCTCACGTGGGAGTGAGGCATGTGAACCTGGATGTGCGTCACAGCCAGGGAGTGGGTCTCAGCCACAGGGTGACCTTTGAGAGAGGGCAGGTCACAGCCAGGTGCAGGGTCACTGCCAGCAGCGTGGTTGGGAGGGGCAAGGCAGTAATGGGGAGGAGCGGCAATGCACAGGTGTCTCCCTTCCTGGCCTACACCTCCCCCGTGCGGTCTGCAGGTGTCTGTCCAGGGACTTCCGCACCCACCTGCTGGTACTGACGCAGCGCCTCCTCCTCGCCCGCCAGGCGTGCTTGCTCCTCCTCGTCGGGCTGGTATGAGGCGGGGACCTGGTAGGCCTCGGGACGTGCCCGGCAGCACATCTCACAGCCAGGCCGTGTAGGCTTGTTGATGAAGGTGCACCCGGGGCACTGCCAGCCCACCTGGGAGCAAAGCGGGCTGTGAGCCGGACTGGACAGGGTAGGGCAAGGGAGGGGCACAGAAGAGGATACTGAGGCCAGGGAGGTGTGGTCAGGGACAGCTTACCGGTGGGGGCTCAGGCACTGCATCTGGCTGCCCCCATCCGGGTTGCTGGGGGACCCTGGGCTTTGGGGGACCTGGTTCCAGAGGGCCCCGTGGCTGCAGCGTGAGGTCCTTGAAGCCCAGATCTGTGGAGAAGGGTTAAGGGGTGGTGGTTCCACGTGGCCCGCTTGGTCCACACCCATGGGGGTGGGTCTCCCTGAGCCAGCCAGGCAGACCCTCCCCCTATCCTCTCCCTCCTCCCTGGGGGCATCTCCAGCTTCCATCTGGCCAAATGGGCATCCTGGCTCCTCCAGGGTCAGGGTCCCTATTCCACCCGCAAATGCTTCTGTGTCCTCTGAGCTTCAAAATCTAACATAACACCTGCCTTTCTGTGCCTCCTGAAGGATTCACCAAGTGGGACACAAGAGCACCGCTGAGGCGGTCCTGTCAAAACAGTGGCTCACTCCATTCCCGAGGACACATCAGCCCCCACCCCCGCCACAAAAAAGAAACTGGCCTAGACTCTTTGAAAGGGATTGAGACATGACAGTTGAATGCCAAGTCTTTGCTATAAATGATAATAGTGGGACAACTGGTAAAATCTGAGTAAGATCTGTAGATTAGATACCAGTACTGTATCAGTGTTAGTTTCCTGAGTTGGATTGCTATGCCTAGTAATGTAAAAAAATGACCTTTCTTTTCAAGGGAATGCACACTGAATTATTTAGGGGAAAGAGACATCATGGCTGCAACTTACTCTCAAAATGGTTCAGAAAATAAAATAATTTTATATAGAAAGAGAATGATAAAAGAAAGCAAATATGGTAAAACCCACATGAAAGGCACATGGGAATTCTTTATATACTACTTTGTAAAATTTGGCAACTTTTCTGTAGGTCTGAAACATTTCACAAGTTAAAAATTAAGAATAAACACTAGTTATCATCACCGTCATACCCAGTTTATGATTTTAGCAAACTGGGCAGCAGATAGGACTAACCTTGCCCAAGGTCACACAGCTGGGCATGCCAGAGCCTGGATGGAATCCACCCGTCCCCATGCCAGCTGTTGTCATGATGGGTCCCTGAAATGCTCCCTCCCATGTGTCTTAGGTCCTCTCTTCCCCACTTGGATAGGGTCCTCTGGGTGAGCCCCTGACTAAAAACCCAGGGGCTCTGCCCCTGCTTGCCCTACACTCTCAGTGAGTCCAGGGCCCCTGCTGGGTCCCACGGTGCTCCGGGCAGAGCCTCACCTTCCAGCATCCGCAGCTGCCGCTCCCGCTGCAGCTCCTGAGGGTTGAGGGAGGTGTTGCGGGCTGATAGCAGATAGAGGTAGGCACTGTCCCCATTCTGCCGCACCCCATGGGAGTGCAGGGTCTCCTGGTCTCGTGCCAGCCGCTGCCCAATCACCCACTGCTGCAAGACTGGTGGGAAGCCATAGTCCAGAAAAACCTGGTGGGGGCACCGAGAGAGAGAGTGGGAAGGCAGGGCCAGAGGAGAGAGAGGAAGCAGGAGCAAAAGGGAGAGCCTCCACCCCAGTGTCGCCCTCAGCCTCCTCACTCACCATGTCTTTGAGGGATGCCACTGTCATATCAGGGCGCACTGTGAGCCAGATGGTGACAGTGTGCATCTGAGCATCTTCCACGCGCACCCACAGCCTGCAGAGAACAGCAGGGGCTCAGCATGGGCTCTGGCCAGGGGTCCAGCCTCAGCCACCGGCTACAGACATGTATGTATTTGCACACAGGCGCATGGCCATGCACATACACACACACAACCCCCAGTCTGGGGTAGGCCCCCACCCATGCTTCCTCCTTTATTAGAACCCACCAGTTAGGCCCCTCCAATGGCTCCATGCTACTCTTAGAATCAACTCATGGCAGCACACGAGGGCCTCCATGAGCTGGCACCTCCCTGACCTCTCCAACCTCTTCTATCTTCTCTCCCCTGCTCCTTAGTCAAACCACCAAAAGTTGTTGTTTACTATATGCTAAGACTATTCAATGCACTGAATGTGTATTAACTCATTTAATCCTCTCAATGAACCCATCAGGCAGGTACTGCTGTATCCCTGTTTTACAGATAAAAATGTGAGGCAGAGATAGGTTACAGTGACTCTGCCAAACTAAGCAACTAACTGTTAGAGGCAGGATTCATTTGTATGTATTGATTTACTTTTAAGACACAGGCTCTCTTTCTGTGGCCCAGGCTGGAGTGCAGTAGTGCTACCTTGGCTCACTGCAGCGTCAACCTCCTGGGGTCAAGGGATCTTCCCATCTCAGCCTCCTAAGTAGCTGGGACCACAGGCTCATGACCCCATGGCTAATTTTTTAAGTTTTTGTAGAGACAGGGTGTCACTGTGTTGCCAAAGCTGGTCTCGAACTCTTAGCCTCAAGTGATCCTCCTGCCTTGGCCTCCTGAAGTGAGATTACAGGAGTAAGCCACTGTGTTCAGCCAGAGGCAGGATTTAAATCCACATGGTATTATTCCAGAGAAAGTGGTTTTAACTTTCTCGAGGATCCTCCAACATTTTTGAAAAATCAAAAGCATGAGAAGATGAAAAAGCAGAACTGACCCCAAAGCAAACAGAGATCATTTAGGGTATAGAACAATAAGCAACAGTGAAGTCTTCAGAGAGATTTGGGAAAACATTGCATTCAGAAAGCAAGAAAAGGCATGAAGTAACCAAAAAATGAGAAAGAGTCCTGCACATTAAAAGTGACTGCTGAATCCCAGCACTTTGGGAGGCTGAGGTGGGTGGATCACAAGGTCAGGAGATCAAGACCATCCTGGTTAACACAGTGAAACCCTGTTTCTACTAAAAATACAAAAAAAAAAAAAAAAAAAAAATTAGCTGGGCGCTGTGGTGGGCGCCTGTAGTCCCAGCTACTTGGGAGACTGAGGCAGGAGAATGGCATGAACCCGGGAGGCGGAGTTTGCAGTGAGCCGAGATTGCACCACTGCACTCTAGCCTGGACGACAGAGTGAAACTCTGTCTTAAAAAAAAAAAAAGGAAAAAAAAAAAAAGTGACTGCTGACTACCTGAACCTTTATCTCTAACTACCAGTTACAGGAAAAATGGGAGATAGTAAATGACACCATGACAGTCTGGGTATTTGTCCCCGACCAAATCTTATCTTGAACTGTAATCCTCAGTGTTGAAGGTGAGGCCTGGTGGGAGATGTTTGTGTCATAGGCACAGCTCCCTCACAGCCTGGAGCCGCTCTGACCGTAGTGACTTCTCGCCCCAGTGAGTCCTCGTGAGATCTGGCTTTTGTAAAGTGTGGCACCTCCCCCGCAACTCTCTCTCTTTCTCCCTCTCTCACCATGTGAAGTGCCTGCTCCCGCTTCAGTAAAAGCTCACTGAGGCCTCCCTAGAAGCCAAGCAAATGTCAGGACCATGCTTCCTATGCAACCTGCAGAACTGAGTCAATTATACCTCTTTTCCTTTTTTTTTTTTTTCTGAGACGGAGTTTTGCTCTGTCGCCCAGGCTGGAGTGCAGTGGCGCGATCTTGGCTAACTGCAAACTCCACTTCCCAGGTTCACGCCATTCTCCTGCCTCAGCCTCCCCAGTGGCTAGGACTACAGGCGCCCGCCGCCACGCCCGGCTAATTTTTTGTATTTTTCGTAGAGACGGGTTTCACCATGTTAGCCAGGATGGTCTCCATCTCCTGACCTCATGATCCGCCCACCTTGGCCTCCCAAACTGCTGGGATTACAGGCGTGAGCCACCGCGCCCCGCCAAACCTCTTTTCTTTGTAAATTACCCAGTCTCAGATATTTCTTTGTAACAATGCTAGAGTGGCCTAATACATACCATGAAGAGGTAATGGATAGATCCAGAATATGGGGAAAATTCTAGAGGTCAAAGGACCAGGTTTCTTAAAAAAAACTAGTGGCATAAAAATAGAGAAGAATAAAAGAGACTTAAGACATATTAAGAAATGCTATGTGTAGATCTTGTTTGGCTCTTGATTTGAAGAAAACAAACTGTAAAAAGCACTAATGAAATAGGAAAATTTGAATATAAACAGTGCATTAGGGGATTTTAAGGAATTCTTATTCCTTTTCTAAGGTGTGATAATAATATTGATGTTTTTTGTTTGTTTGTTTTTGTTTTTTTTGAGACAGGGTTTCGCTTCTGTCACCCAGGCTGGAGTGTAATGGCATGATCTTGGCTCACTGCAGCTTCAATCTCCTGGACTGCAGTGACCCTCCCACCTCAGCCTCCCGGGTAGCTGGGACTAGAGGGGCGCACCACCATGTCCGGCTAATATTTTGTAGAGATAAGGTTTCACTATGTTGCCCAGGCTGGTTCTGAACTCCTGGATTCAAGCAATCCACCTGCCTCAGCCTCCCACAGTGCTAGGATTACAAGCATGATCCACCGTGCCCGGCCAAGTCCTAATTTTTTGAAGACACATACTAAAGATTTAAGGATAAAATAATATCTGAAATTTGTTTAAAAGTAGTCCAGAAAATGTTCTTAAAATTCTTCAGGTAAACAATTTGAATACCCAGTCGACTGTCAATGAATTGAGAGCAAAATACAGAATTTTTTTTTTTTGAGGAGTCTCGCTCTGTCGCCCAGGCTGGAGTGCAGTGGCGCGATCTCCACTCACTGCAAGCTCTGCCTCCCGGGTTTACGCCATTCTCCTGCCTCAGCCTCCCCAGTAGCTGGGACTACAGGTGCCCGCCACCACGCCCAGCTAATTTTTTGTATTTTTAGAGACGGGGTTTCACCATGTTAGCCAGGATGGTCTCAATCTCCTGACCTCGTGATCCGCCCGCCTCGGCCTCCCAAAGTGCTGAGATTACAGGCGTGAGCTACCGCGCCCAGCCTAGAAATTTTTAAACATGCAAAAACTAAAAATGTACCACATTTTCCACATGAAAAGTTCTTGAAAAACAAAAATAGATGAGTCTCATACAGGAGAATAGAAGAAAAGTAAAACATGAAAAGGACTGGATCTTAACCCCAAAATGTTCTTCCAGCAATAAGGGTTTTGAAACATAAAAGTGCATATGGTTTCAGCTGCGCTAGTTATTCTATAGTGAATAATATTTCCATAATCAAAATACTATAAATCCTTTCTAGTAGTATTGCACTTTTAGAATCAACCTAGAGGCAAAGCATAAAAGCCTTAATTATGTTAGAAAACAAAATTTTTAAAAGCTATAATCTTAACACTATCAACAAAAAAATACAGCTGGAGCTCTCTCATTCAATGTCACATCAAGATCGCTGGTGAACAGCAGAGAATCACAAAAACAGCTGCAGTCAAAGCTTAAACACTTAATTTTAACTTACATGCTATAAATGCATATTCACTGGCCAGTCTCTAGGTGTACAGCCAACAGCTTTTCTCTCTTTCTTTCTTTGAGACAGGGTTTCACCTTGTCACTCAGGCATGATCATGGCTCACTGCAACCTCAACCACCTGAGATCTAATAATCCTCTGGCCTCAGCCTCTCAAGTAGCTGGGACTATAGGCGTGTGCCACCCAACCTGGCTAATGTTTTCATTTTTTGTAGAGACAAGTTCTCACTATGTTGCCTCCCAAAGTGCTGAGCCGCCATGCCCAGCATGCGTTTATACCTGCTGACTGGAGTTTCCCATGGATTTTTCTTTTTTTTTGTATGAATCACATCCATAATCATGATCTATATATTTCTAGTAGCGGCTTCTTTAAAGTGAGCAAGAACTTAGACACACTCCTGAAGCATCAGAGCACAGAGCCCTTCTGGATTTTTACTGTATTTCCTTACTACTGTCTCACCCAAAAGTGTTAATCTGTGTGTGTGTGTGTGTGTGTGTGTGTGTATGTGTCTGTGTGATTTGTCTCTTGTCTTTTTAAAGCAATCAGCTTATTTTCACAGAAATGACTCTTTCAGTGCTCATGTTTTATTAATTAATGTAACAGCTAAGTAAACTATGTTATTACCAATAACACATACAACAGGTATCATTTGCTAGGAAGCATAGGGTCCATCGATGAGAACCCAACAGCAGGTCTGAGAGGTGCTGGTTGCCCACAGCCTCTCAAAACTCAGGTTCTGATCCAGCAAGTCTGAGGTGGGACCTGAGATTCCCCCCATGTTGTGGTCCAGGGGCCACACTTTAATAGCAAGATGGTGGCTGACATTGTACATTGTACAGAGGAAACGCCAGTGCCAGTTAGTTAATTCAGGGGATCAAGTGGAAGTCAACTGGGAAAATGTCCACAATGATACTTCAACAAAAAAAGTCATGAAAAGCAAAGGTGGAAGATGAGTATGTTAACTTCCTCATTTTTCATAGCAAGGAGTACACAGGTACTGTCTCAATCAACCATTTCAAAAAGTAGATATACCAATATTTTGGTTAAAATCAAGTGGCCAATGATCTACAGATTCAATGAAATCCCTACCAAAATCCCATTTTTTTTTTCTTTTTTGCAGAACGAGACAAGCTAATCCTAAAATTTATATGGAAATTCGAGACTTGCAATAACCAAAACAATATTGAAAAAGAACAAAAGCTGGAGAACTTCCATTTCCTGATTTCAAATACTATGAAGTTACAGTAATCAGAACAGTGTGGTACTGGCATAAGGGCAGATGTATATAATAGTTCAATGGTATAGAAATGAGAGTCCAGAAATAAGCACTCATATTTATGGTCAATTAATTTTCAAAAAGGGTTAAGATGATTAAACACGGGAAAATAGTCTTTTTAACAAATAGTGCCGGCAAAACTCAATATCCACATGCAAAAGAATGAAGTTGGACCCTTACCTCACACCATATATAAAAATTAAATCAAAATGGACCAAAGACCTAAATGTAAGAGCTGAAACCATAAAATATTTAGGAGAAAATATAGAGGTAAATCTTCATTACCTTGGATGAGGCAATGATTTCTTAGATATGACACCAAAAGCACAAACAACAAAATAAAACATAGACGACCTGGACATCATCTAAATTTAAAACTTTTGTGCTTCAAAGGACACTATCAACAAAGTGAGAAGACAACCCACAGAATGAGAGAGAATTTTTGCAAATCATGCAGCTGATAAGGCACTTCTATCTCAGATGAATAAAGTATTCCTACAACTCAATAATAAAAACATAAATCCAGCTGGGTGTGGTGGCTCATGCCTGTAATCCCAGCACTTTGGGAGGCCAAGGTGGGTGGATCACCTGAGGCTTCAGGAGTTCAAGACCAGCCTGGCCAACACAGTGAGACTCCATCTCTACTAAAAATACAAAAATTAGCTGGTGTGGTGGTAGGCACCTGTAGTCCAGCTACTCAGGAGGCTGGGGCAGGAGAATCATTTGAACCTGGGAGGCGGAGGTTCAGTGAGCTGAGATTGCACCATTGCACTCCTGCCTGGGCAATACAGTGAGACTCCATCTCAAAAAAAAAAAAAAAAAAAAAGATAAACCCAATTTTAAAATGGGCAAAAGACCTGAATAGGCAAACCTCAAAAGAAAATATGCAAATGGCAAATAAGCACATGAAGATGCTCAACATCATTTGTCATCAAATGGTTAGGAAATTGCAAATCAAAACCACAATGAGATACCTCTTCAAATTTACTAGGATGACTATAATAAAATAGATAAATAACAAGTCTTAGAGAGGATGTGGAGAAACTAGAACCCTCATATATGCTGGTGGGAATGTAAAACAGTGTAGCCACTTTGGAAAACTGTCTGGCATTTCTTTAAAAGGTTAAACATAGAGTTACTGTATGACCCAGCAATTCCACTCCTAGTATGTACCCAAGAGAAATGAAAACATGTCCACACAAAAAGTTGGACACAAATGTTCATGGCAGCATTGTTTATAATAGCCAAAAAATAGAAACACCCAAATGTCCATCAACTGATTTAATCAGTAATGATAATGAGGTATGTCCACACAATAGATTATTATTTGGCAATAAAAAGGAATAAGGTTCTGGCTGGGCATGGTGGCTCACACCTGTAATCCTAGCACTCTGAGAGGCTGAGGTGGGAAGACTGCTTGGGCCAGAAGTTCAAGACCAGCCTAGACAACACAGCAAGACCTTATCTCTACAAATTCTTAAAAAATTAGCTGGGTGTGATGGTACACGCCAGTAGTCCCAGCTACCTGGGAGGCCAAGGCAGGACTGCTTGAACCCAGGAAGTTGAGGCTGTAGTGAGAGATGATGGCACCACTGCACTTCAACTTGGACAACAGAGTGAGACCTCATGTCAAAAAAAGGGAAATGAAGTTGTTATACATGCTACAACATGGATGAATCTAGAAAACATGATCCTAAGTGAAAGAAGCCAGACACAAAAGGCCATATGTTGTATGATTCAACTTATATGAAATTTCCAGAGAAGGGAGATCCCTAGAGATAAAAAGTAGATTAGTGGTTGCCTAAGGTTGGGGAGTTAGGGAAAAGGTAGAGAGATGGAGACTGACTGCTAATGAGTACCAGGTTTCTTTACAGGATGATGAAAATGTTCTAAAATTGATTGTGGTAATGGTTGCACAAACTTGAATATACTAAAAGCCATTGAACTGTATACTTTAAATGGTTGAACTGTATGGATAAATAAATAAAACTGTTTTAAGAAAAATCAAATGGGACCTACCATGAAAACTGAAAATCAGAAACCATAAAACTATTGCCTTACTATCCAGTAATGAAAAAGCAGTCAAAAAAGAACCATAGACACTAATGTTTATTGAGTGCATAACACACGCCAGGCACTGTGCAAAGTGTTTCAGCATTGAGTTTAAGTCTCCTGGAGCAGAGACTGACAGTATCCATTCTCTTCCCTTCCCTTACCAAGCAAACCCCTGAATTCTAGTTGAATATCCTGACTATACAGTCTTCCCTCAAGTTGAACTGTAGCTGTACAAATCAGTTCTGGTCCATAGGAATTAATGGAAGAAGTGTGTACAGCTTTTGAGCTATGCTCTTTAGAGGAATGTGGAGGGGTGCCTTTCTTCCCTTCCTCCTGTGATGTGATGGCTGGATGGAGCTGGAATGGCCATTTTGCACCATGAGGAATCTGGGAATGAAGGGCAGAACAGTGAGAGAAGCAACATGAGCCTCTGAGGACTGTGGGGAGCAGAACCCCCCTATCTGGACTCCCTGCCATAAATTTGTTTACATCACTGTTCTGTTTTCTTCTGTTGTGTAAGGACTAACATACAGTACACCTCCTAACAACCCTATGAGATAGCTACTGTTACGGTCATCCTAATACAGTACACCTCCTAACAACCCTATGATATGGTCTGATTTTTAACATGAGGACACACTGAGAGGTGAAGTGACCTGCCCTATATTTCACAGTTGATTAATGACATAACTAGGGTTAGAAGCCAGCCCTCCTGAAGCCAGAACCTGCCATTAGGAAGAACTGTTTTACACGCAAGAATGTCCTGTCCTGCTGTCCCTAGGGTTCAGGCCAGCCATGCACTCCTCACCTGATGTCCTGCGTTGGGGAGACCTCAGGCTTCAGTTGCACACTCAGGGGCACCCGTTGCTCTGCCAGCCAGATGGCACACTTCATTGCCACCTGTTCATCCCCACCTGCCACTGCTCGGGTGAGGCTCAGGGCCATTTCCTCTGCTGAAAGCCAGTACAGCAGGAGCCAGTTAGCACAGGGTTTTATTTTCAGGAGGTGGGCGTAATGGGGTAGGAAAGGAGATGATCCTTTGTGTGTGCTGCTTTCTCTGTCTTCCTGGTGAACTCCTACATATCCTTCAGCACCCAGACTAAAAGTCCCTTTCTCTGGGAGGGGTTCTTTGATATTCCCCACTCCTCCTCACTCTAGGCTCATTTGGTTCTGTTTGTCCTTCATATTCCCAGGGTCCCTCATACTTCTATTCATTTATCCAATAAGCAGTTATTGAGCTCCTACTGTGTGCCACCCACTGTCCCAGGAACTGGAATCTCACAGAGATTTATAAACAGGGTCCCTCTCCTTATGGATCTCCCTGCCCAGTGGGGAGACAATGAACAAGTTTAACAAGAAAAAAAAAAAAAAAAGTCAGATTGTGATCCTTGCTGGCAGGAAAATAAACAGGTTAAGGAGACCAGGGAAGGCTTCTGGGAGGGAGTAACACTGAAGGTGAGACCTGAAGGAAGCTGCACGTGTCAAGCCCCAGTGGGGAAGAGTGGTCCAGGTGGAAGGAAGAGTAAGGGCCTTGGCCAAGAAATGGTTGGATGAGAACCGAAAGAAGCCAGTGGGGCTCCAGTAGAGTGAGCATGGCGGGGTGACTGAGATGTCCTGTGGGTCACCCAGGGGCTCTGGGTTTTGTTTGTAGAACACAGAGGGGCATGGGAAGGTTTCCAGCAAGGCAGTGACTGACTTCTGTTCTACAACCCTAGGTGCAGGGGGCAAGAGAAAAGGCAAGGACCCCTGCTACTCAGGTCAACCTGAGGTCTGTATCCCACCAGCCCAGGAGGTCTCCAAGTTCAATGCCCTGTGTCCTCTGCGAGTCCCCAAGCCCCATCTCAGCACAGAGCCGGCCCAAGGAGTTCTCAGGGCCCCAAGATGGCTCTGGAAGCCAGCAGGTACTAAAGGAGGAAACTGATGGGGAGGGGGGCAGAGGGAGGGCAGGCTAAAGCCCCCTCTCCAAGGTCCTTCCAGGCAGGCAAGGCCAGGTCCGGCGGGGCCCACTTCCCACCGGAAGTTCCCCAGCCACCTCCAGCCTCTGCCCACCTTTCTTGGTCTTCTCGTCCATCTGGTGTGGCTGCGCCCATCCCCCTGCGGGGGACCGTGCCTCCTGGGAAATGCTACCCCCGGGTCGCCTGGGAGAGGCGGGAGACCAGGAGCAACTCAGCCAGGCCGTGTGGCCTCCGGCGCGGCCCAAGTTCTGTCTGTGCCTCGCTGTCCCCGCGGCAATCGGGAAGCATCACACTGCCTGGTGACCAGGCCGGGATCCCGAGTGGGGCGGTGAGAGGGCAGCGGGCGCCGAGACAAGTCCGCACTGGGCGCAAGAAGAAACGGGACCAGCCGAGGTGGGGAGAAGCGGGGAAAGGACGCCCGGACACCGCCCAGCCAGGGCGTTCCAAGTCCCGGAGGACCCCCACTTGCGGGAGCACTCCTGGCGTCCTGGGTTTCAACGCAAAGCCCTCTCTCCTCCCAGGAGGCCCCAGTTCTTCGCAAGCGGAGCGGCTTCGGCGGAAGAGAAAGTGAAAGTGGCGGCCCCGGAAGTGGGGCGGGACTGGGAGGGGGGCCGGAAAAATTGTCGCCTCATCCGGGACCTCCACTGCCCGGCCACCCGGCGGCGGCGGACGCCGAGCGCGGGGTTCCAGCGCTCCCAGCGCTCCTGTTTGGGGCGACCCCACCCTGTCCTCCGGGGCTGACCGCGGACCCCCGGACCCCCACCGAGCTCACCTTGCCGGCTGCGCCGCGGAGCAGCGGGAGGGGGCGGGGCCGAGAGGCGGGGTGGGCGGGGCGCGGGGCCCGGGGCCGGGGACCGGGGGCAGTAGCAGGAACCTGAGCAGGAGCTGGAGCCGGGGCTGGAAGGCGGCTAGATCCACAGCGTCGAGCTGCCGGGGCCGGGTTAGGAGCGCCCCCTGCGAGCCCGGCGCCTGCTCACCCAAGCCTCAGGCATACCACGGGGCAGGCCCGGTCCTTGGCTCCGTTTGCAAATGAATAAACGAAGGCTCTGTTTGTTGATGACCTGTCCAAGGCCACTCAGCCGAGGTTTGAATCCAGGCCTGGCAGGCTCAGGAACCCGCCCTTACCCAGGTCCGACGCTGCCTCTCAGCGGTCACCGTCTGTCTTTTCGTTGAGCTATTGGTGAAGTTTGCATTCGCCTGCTTTAATTTTTCTCCCGCTCCTCGTCCCATCGATCAGCAGATGCTGTGGGCTCCACTTGCAGACTCTCATCCCTCACCTCCTCCGGCCCCATCCCGCTCCAGCTCCATCAGTGCTCCATCGTCTCAGGGGTCCTGAATCAGCCTCCTCCTGGGCCTCCTTGCTTCTCTTTTTGCCCTCTTCTGTCCATTTCCACCCAGCTGCCGGAGAGTCCTGTTAAAAATGTAAATCAAACTCAGGCCACTCCCCGACTCAAGTACTCCCATCTCGCTTAAAGCAACAGCCGAGATCTTCCCCAGGGCTTGCAAACTGCCTCCAGATCTCTGTCTTCGTAGCTGACTAACCTGCCCTTGCCTCACTCCACTCAAGTCCCATTGACCTGCTGGGTCCTGGAGTAAGTCAGACACACTCCCGCCTTAGGGTCTTTGCACCTGCCATAACCCAAACATCTGCATGGCTCGCTCCTTCCCTTTATTTTGGTCTTTACCCAAAAATCTTCCCTAGCTACTCCATCTGAAATTTCACAGACACACATGTATCCAGCATTTCACATCCGCCTTCCTGGCTTCATTTTTTTTTTTCTTCTCAGCATCTATTAGTGTCTAACGAAGCATATTTTACTTATTTCTGTTTTTCTGGGTCTGTTTTCCCCTCCTAGAGGGCAGGGACTTTGGTTTGTTTTGCTCACTGCTGTGTTCTGGTGTCTAGCACAGTTCCAAACACGTAACGGAGGCTCCATATGTTGAATGAAGGAATGAACCTGATCTTCATCTGGGATAATTTTTCTTTCTTTTTTTCTTGTTTCTTTTTTTTTTTTTTTTTGAGACAAGAGTCTTGCTCTGTCGCCCAGGCCAGAGTGCAGTGGCATGATCTCGGCTCACTGCAAGCTCCGCCTCCCGGGTTCATGCCATTCTCCTGCCTCAGCCTCCCGAGTAGCTGGGACTACGGGCGCCCGCCACCAGGCCTGGCTGATTTTGTGTATTTTTAGTAGAGATGGGATTTCATCGTGCTAGCCAGGATGGTCTCGATCTCCTGACCTCGTGATCCGCCTGGCTCGGCCTCCCAAAGTGCTGGGATTACAGGCATGCGCCACCGCGCGGCCAGGCCTATCTGTGATAATTTTTCTTTTACCTGAAACGCATCTCTTAAGACAATGTTTTTCAACTTTGGCTGTACATTTGAATGGCCTGGGGCAAGCTTTTATTTTTTATTTTTTATTTTTTTTGAGACAGAGTTTCACTCGTGTTGCTCAGGCTGAAGTGCAGTGGCGTAATCATGGCTCACTATAGCCTCCAACTCCTGGGCTCAGCTTCCCGAGTGGCTGCAACCACGGGCACGTGCCACCACACTTGGCTAATTTTTGTAGAGACAGGGTTTGGTCATGGTCCCCAGGCTGGTCTTGAACTCGTGGTGGGCCCAAGAGATCTGCCCACCTTGGCCTCCCAAAATGCTGGGAAATGGTTGCTGTTGAGACATCATCACCTGTCAATCTAACTGCTGTTCTTTTTATAAATAACTTTATTGAGATATAATTTATATGCCATAAAATCCGCCCACTTAAAATATACAATTTAATAGTTTTTAGTAACATTTACAGAATTGTGTACCCATCACCACAATCAAATTTTAGAACATTTTTGGCTGGGCATGGTGGCTCACACCTGCAATCCCAGCACTTTGGGAGGCTGAGGCGGGCAGATCACTTGAGGTCAGGAGTTTGAGACCAGCCTGCCCAACATGGTGAAACCCTGTCTCTACTAAAAATGCAAAAATTAGCCAGGTGTGGTGGTGGGCATCTGTAATCCTAGCTACTGTGGAGCCTGAGACATGAGAATTGCTTGAACCCAGGAGGCAGAGGTTGCAGTGAGCTGAGATCGCACCATTATACTCCAGCCTGCGTGATAGAGTGAGATTCCATAAGAAAAGAAAAAGAGAGAGAGAGAGAGAGAAAGAAAGAAAGAAAATTTTTATCACCCCAAAATAGACCTGTACTCATTAGCAGACATTGCCTCTTCCCCATCCTCCAACTGACAGCACTAATATACTTTATGTCTCTATAGACTTTCCTCTTCTTGATATTTTATAGAAATTAGATCTTACTGATGGGCCACAGTGGCTCGTGCCAGTAATCCCAGCACTTGGGGAGGCCAAGCCGAGTGGATCGCTTGAGCCCAGGATTCAAGACCAGCCTGGGCAACATGGTGAAACTCCATCTCTACAAAAAATATAAAAATTAGCCAAGTGTGATGGTGTGCACCTGTAGAGCAGTGATTGCCCCACTGCACTGCAGCCTGGGTGACAGAGTGAGACCAAAAGAAAATTAGGCTTTGACAATATGTGAACCTTTGTGACTGGCTTCTTTCACTTGGCATAACATTGGGGTTTTTCTTGACATAATGTTTTTGAGGTTTATCCATGTGGTAGTACTGGGTATTTTTTGTTTTTTGTTGTTGTTTTGGGATTTTGTTTGTTTGTTTGTTTTGTTTTTTGTTCTTAGAATCTCTGATTCTTTTCCTCTGAGTGCTTTTAAGAATTTTTTTTTTAATATTTGGGGGTTTTTTTGCATTTTTACTATGATGTGTCTATGTGTGAAATTTATGGAGTTTCTTGAATCTGTGATTGGTGTCTGATTTCTGTCTCCCTCTTTAGCCATGTCTAATTTGCTGTTTAGCCCATCTTTTAAATTTAATTTTTGTGTATGCGTGTGTGTATGATGGCGTTTCACTCTTGTTGCCCAGGCTGAAGTGCAAATGGCACGATCTTGGCTCACTGTAACCTCCGCCTCCTGATTCTCCTGCCTCAGCCTCCTGAGTAGCTGGGATTACAGGCATCTGCCACCACTCCTGGCTAATTTTTTGTATTTTTGGTAGAGACTGGGTTTCACCATGTTGGCCAGGCTGGTCTTGAACTCCCGACCTCAGGTGATCCATGTGCCTCGGCCCCGCAAAGGGTTGGGATTACAGGCATGAGCCACCACACCTGGCCAACATTTTGTTTTGTAATCTGCATCTGATAATACTGATATGCAAACTCTGGGCATATCTGTTTCTGTCCGTTTTCACTCCTATTGTCTTGCTTTCTCCTAATGACCCTGCTGATTTATTATGGTCATGTACCATCAGCCCTGAGTGACCTGCACATATTTATATTGGGGGCAGCTATATTGTTTCAGGTTTTCTGGTCTCAGCCTTGGCCCTTCAGGGGAAGAGCTGGCATTCAAGTTGAACACCCTTCACCTCAGTGGGTAGACTCTAGTCATTCAAACTTGGGTTCCAATCTCAGTGCTACAGTTCACTATCTCTGTGACCCTGGACAAAGATTCCCCCATCTGGGCCTCAGTTTCTTTCTCTGTACAATGGTGATTATAATGGCTCCTCCCACATAGGCTGTTGTGAGAATCTGTACAAGTTATTAATTATTGATACATAGCAAATTTCCCAAAATTAACAGCTTAAAACAGCAATAAACATGTATGCTGTTACACAGTTTCTGTGGGGTAGGAGCTGGGGAGCAGCTACATAGATGGTTCTGACTCAGGGTCTCTCATGAAGTTGTAGTTAAGATGTTGGCTGGGGCTGCAGTCATCTGAAGGCTTGACTGGGGCTGGAGGATCGACTCCAGAAAGCTCTCTCATGTGCCTGGGTGGTGCTGGTTATTTGCAGAATGCCTACGTTCCTCACCACGTGTACGTTTCCACAGGGGTAATTGAGTGTCCTCACAACATGGCAGCTGGCTCTCCCCAGAGCAGATGATCCAGAAAAGCAAAGCAGAAACCATAACGTATTTTATGACCTAATCTTAAAAGTCATACTTTCTCATTTCACAATATCCTATTAATTACACTGGTCAGCCCAGCTCAGGATAGGATGAAACTGTTCAAAGGTGTGAACTGGTGAAGGCCACTGGGGGCCATTTGGCTGTCACATATGAAGTGAGATGATGCAGGTAAAGCACTCAGAGCCATGTCTGGCATGTGCTATGTGTTCATCCCAATCAGTGTCCTGGCTTTGCTCTAGGCAGGTGGAATCTGTACAGGAACAACTTTTATTCAATCATTCCACAAACATTTATTGAGCACCCCTGTGTACCAGGCACTGTTCTAGGAACTGGGGGAACAGTTATAAATAAAACATAGTCCTTGGCCTTATGAAACTCAAAAAAACATAAAATACACTGCCCGGTGGTGCTCAGTGCTATGAAGAACCATAAAGCCAGGTAAGGGAAGAGAGAACAATGAGGAAATGAGGCCTGGGTGTCTTTCTCCATGGATCTGGTACAACTGTAGTGGTGGCTTAGATTCTGACCTCTGCTAAAGCCCTCCCTCCCCTGTGAGTGCATCCTGGCATCACAGGCATGTAAAATTTATACCAATTTTACATCTAGGCTAAAGTCAAACTGGTCCAGAGAAGAGCTGAAATAAGATTTGAGTCCCCAAGGAGTCCGAATTTCTTCAAATACAGAGGTTCTCCAACTTGGAGGCCCAGCAGCATCACCCAGGGAGCTTGTTAAGATGCAGGAGCCCAGATCTTCTGACTCTCTAGGTTGGGGGAGGGTCCAGGGATCTGCATTTTAAACAAGCACCCCAGGGATGGATGCAGGAGATCAACCAATCACATTTGAGAAATGTTCTGGTTGTGGGTAGTGGTCATGCCTGTAAACCCAGTGCTTTGGGAGGCCAAGGCAGGAGCATCATTTAAGGCCAGGCATTCAAGACCAGCCTGGGCAACATAGTGAGGCCCCTGTCTCTACAAAACAAATTTTTAAAAAATTAGCCAGGCATGGTGGCACTCACTTGTGCTCCCAGCTACTCAGGAAGCTGAGGTGGCAGGATAGCTTGAGCCCAGGTGTTCAAGGCTGCAGAGAGCCATGATCACACCACTGTACTCCAGCCTGGGTGGCAGAGCGAGACCCTGTCTTTTTTTTTTTTTTTTTTGAGATGGAGTTTCACGCTTGTCGCCTAAGCTGGAGTGCAATGGTGCGATCTTGGCTCATTGCAACCTCTGCCTCCCGACCCTGTCTTTTTTTTAAAAAAGACACCCTGTTCTGAGGGCTTAGTGGCCAGGCAGGGCTCTAGGTCCAGCCTCAAGTGATGGATAGGGCTTAGCCATGCAGAAAGAAGACGAACAGCTGGAGATCCAGAGACACCAAGCAATTTACCCAGGGGCACACAACCTGTAAGGACAGTTTTAGGTGCACATCATCTTATTTAATCAAATATATCTCATG